ACTCTGCACATGTCAAGAACACAGAATATGAACCACATTTTCTTGTCTTTTTTTATTATTTTATTTCATATTTCACGTTTGGCATTTCATAAGAGGTGTGGAGGAGCAACTGCAGGAATAGCTCTCAGTGATCTGTTATTATTTAAAACAAAATGACTACATGCAGTGAAATTCTTGGAGGGAGGGGCGGCCTCGTTTGCGTGGGGGCCCCCCTCTTGGATAATGGTAGGGGAAGCACTGTATTTTTTTAACATACAATGTTGTTGTTATTTACAATCACAAATAAAATGTTTTTACATTTAGGCACTTCCAGCAGAATTATCATATTTTTTCTGCCTTATAGTTCTAACAATGTAAAGTGAAAATGTTTTAAAATGGTAAAATTAGATTTGAAAGTGGCGCCATGCCAACTAGCCATTATTATATTCTTAATAAGGTCCAAGTAGACCAAAATTATTATTATTACAAAACTGAAAAGGTAAAGGTGTGAATAATAGCATGTATTTGAGCCACCATGACATTTTAGAGACTAGAGTTTTCTTTACTACTGCAGTCACCTTCGGTCCATCTGTTAGCTTGTAAGCAGTGGTGGGCAGCACTAACCTAAAAATTAGTTCCACTAAACCCTAAAACACTAATTCAAATATTTAAGTCCCCTAATTCTAAAGTACTAACGCACTGAAAATTTAGCAAAAGCTAATTCTAAAGCATTAAAACAACCTAGTTGACACATAAACATTCTTCAGTCAACATGAGACAAAATTTACTGTGTGCTGAATATTGTTACTTAGTGCGCTTGTCGCAGTGTTGTTTGTGACGGCCATTTTAATTTTAGTCTTCGTCCTTTGAATGAAAACACTTCTTAGTTTTAGTCAGTTTTAGTCATTTCTATATTTAACAGTTTTGGTCCAGTTTTAGTCGACGGAAACTTAAAAAATGTTTAGTTTTCGTCTTAAAAAACAACATATTAGTCTTTACAAATTAATTTGAGTAATGTGTGTTAGCATTTGTGAATTTGTGTAATTTGTGTTACTCTTAAAATGCCCAAAACAAAAACGTTCTCACTTTGTGGCTTTATTTCTCAGAATTTGCTAAAGTGCAGTGAGCATACAGCAATAAAGGGGAACACACAGGTTCAACTCAAACTTGTCAGCCAGGACCATGAAGATACATCTTACTTATAAAAACGGACATCATGCAGTCCTAAACTTAGACTATTAAACTTGTGCAGACGAGTGTTTACATGCACCAGGCTTTTATTCTGAAAAGAAGCACTGACATGCATAGTTGCTAACTCCCCCAGCCAAAAAATAAATAAACAAATAAACACAGAGAAATGTTTTACTTTAGTCATGAACAACCAGCTTCTGAGCTCAGAATGGAGCTGCGACAGCTTTTAATAATGGTGGAGACATTACTCCCTGGACCCTGGTTAAGCAAGCAACAGGTGACAGATGGACTTTTTTTTTCTTTTTTTGCGAAGTGGCACAGGCTGTAAGAGAACAGGAGGAAAAGGTATGTGCTGCTGTGTACGTGTGTGCAACAGCACTGTTGTCCCTCCCTCCACTCTGAATTCTAAATGATTGACAGACCACCAACTTACATTTTTCGTCCAGTCCCGTCTCATCAACGAAAACTCACACAATTTTCGTCACGTCTTAGTCATCAAAGAGCTATGTTTATTTCATTACTGTCTCATTATCGTCATGAAAAAAGTGAGTAGAGCTGGGCGATATGATCAAAATTTTATATCATGGTATTTTCAACATTTTCACCTGTTTCACGGTATTTGACAGTATTTTTCTTTTCATCACAGCTCAGCTGATAATAAAATGTACAAACCCTGCTTATTGACGTTTTTCTTTTACTGTACCTCTGTCTGTGTCGCTGTTTCCCTCCTCTGTGTCTGTTCTTCTCTCACTGGTGGTTGGAGACAGTAGTCATGCATTTTGGTCCAGTCATGAAGGAGGAGGGTTAAGAAAAGGTTATGATTGGGTTTATTGTTTTATGTTATTTATTAAAGCTTATCAGCACGACTCACCTTACGAACTACTTCCTGCAGGCTTTTCACAATAAAACCACATTAAGTCTCCATCAGCATAACGTCTCCATATTAACTAACGGCGTTAAATCTAACTGTGCACGTCACTGAAGAGGTGTTTACTACATTCAGCGACGGCGAAAACGGGATGTTTTTTTAAACATCAGTCAATATAAGCAGCGGAATCGCCACCCGCGGCTGCAACTAGCTGCTCCAAACATTAGCATGCTAACGCACATAGCGGTGCAGCAAGGAAAAATGTCCCCGGGGAAACAACAGTTCACTGGCGGCCGCGACAAAACGTTCCACTATTTAAACCAGAATGTCCGTTATTCAAAAAATTCATATAACAAAAATAAAAACTGGTATTCGGTACAAAACGGTATACCGCCCAGCACTAAAAGGGGGCATCAACAAAAATATTTCGTCATCATTAATGAAAACAACACTGATTTGTCGGGCCAAATGGGAGTCACCCACAGGCCACGTTTGGCCCACGGGCCAAACATGTCAAACATCTTTGACATGTGACCTTGTAGATAAGTGACACACATATGAATAAAATGCTTGACAACTTTCACCCTCAACTGTGAACAACAATGTTGATCAATAATGTTTAAAGACCTCATTTAGTGCTTCTAAATTTATCAAGTGCTAATCCACAAAAGTTTTTTAAAAAAATAGCCAAAACACTAATCAGAAAATAGTTCCCCTATTAGTGCTTTAGTGCTTTAGGGGAACTGTGCCCACCACTGCTTGTAAGTCCTGTCAGGCCTCAGCGCTATATTTCTCCAAACTGAGCTTATTCAAAAAGCTATCTACATCAGATAATTAATTCATATTTAATTAATTGTTTATATTTTTCATCAGAACACCCCTTTCTATTGTTTTTTACTAATAATGGAGTACTTTTAAAGCTTTAATACGTAGATATTTTTGCATTCTCTTATCAGACCCATCAGTGAAGATGAGCTCAATCATCTCAAGGAACATTGTTATGCTGCCATTTCAGACAAGCAGGTCCTCATCGACCAAAAGCTACAAGCCGAGGTACGATAACATTTCCCATGAGTATCTGTCTCTCTTAAACACTCCTGATCCAGTTTTTAAGACCAGTTGAAAAATGGCAAGAATTTACATTGTGGATGGTTGAAGGTTCTAAGTAGAGCTTCAAATGCAAAAAGAAGAAATGAGATAGAGACAAGAAAACATCTTAGTTAGAACTTTGTTGAACTGAACTAGTCTGTTCATCAGCTGATCAAAGGTTTGAGACCATTTCTAAAGAAAAAACTCTAATAAAAGAAATAAACTCTTAAAAGAAGGACTCAGTAATGAGCAGCTGAGCCATTCTTGTTAATCACCTCAAAAATGAGTTTCTTCATGCTTGATGCTGGTGTTTCCTGGAGGCTAGAGGGAATGTTGCTCGAAGTGATGAAGATGTCTTCATGGAAGTCATCCTCTGTCTGGAACTGGTTTCCATTTCATAAACGTCCCTTGCCATCCAACCCCAAATGTTCTGGACTGGATTTAGATCAGGGAACATGCAGGTGGTTCAAAGAGACACATTTCTCTGGAGGTCATTTGTCAGGCAGCATTGTGAACTGCAGTGTTGTCCTGTTGAAAAACCCTCATTACCACACAAACGGTGGTCTTCATTCATGAGATAGACCCCCTCCTCCACACAGCCAGCTGCCGTTTGACACCTCTGCACAACCTGAAGCTCCATTGTTCCACTGAAGGAAAAAGACCCTCAGATCATGATCAAAACCCTTCTCTTACAGATACTGTATGATGGTTGTGGGAATGCAGGCGTAAGTGACCAGCTTAATTTGGGCCGAGGATCGTCCGTGTCTTAACGGAGAGCCAATTGGATCCTCGGGCTCAGGACTGGTGAAATGTTTTGGGTCTACCACCTGACTTTTTTTGTTCCTTAACCCTGAGAATCTTTTAAGAAATTTAAAATGACTGCAAGACTTAAATGTCCTGATGCATCTCAGTAATCCAGGTAAAAAATCAAAAAGAAAAAAATTGTATAGGTCCTCTGGACGGGTTCTTCTCTAATG